AAACTTTCAAACCTGGTACTATCAAGCAAAACAAAATAGAGGAACATCAGACAAAACAAGATGGTAAGAGCAATACAGGGCTTCAAATCAAGTTAATAGAAAATCAAAGTGGGTTACTATAATATATCCTGCTATTTTTTATTTTTCCCTTAATTAAAAGGATAAAAATAAAAAAGTAGATAATAAAAAGGAGATTGAGATAAAAGAGGGCATAACAACAAAACAGTGCAGATCAAAACATAACTATTTAAGCAAAATAGTGTTTCACCACAAGATAATCCTGACATAAAAGTAGTTACCATATGGTCTCTTTCCTTGAAATCTTTGAGTATAACTTCGTGTACTGTAGCATCAAATATATCAAAACAATGTAAAACCATTCAAGAGAATGACAGTATTACAGGGTATTTAGAACCAACTAACAGGTAATGAACTATGGTTTCTGTATAATCTCCTTGTCTATAAAAGTTTTTGTTTATACTATCACATATAATAAAATCCAATAAGATACAACATGTTAAGACCTATGGAGACAGAAGAACAAAAGCGGGACTTCAAAACAAGATGATACCAAATCAGCACTACCTATTATGACATCATTTTCTCCAAAATAGCTGTTCCTATCATCCAATCTTCTCTGCCTCATTTCTCTTGAGCTCTTTTTCTGTCATTAGTTGTCAGTTTGTCTTCTTCATTTTGTTTTCTGCTCCATTCATTGCGGCCTCTCTGCCACTATTTCTGGATTCTTCGTATTTTTCTTTTTTAGAATATCCTGCAGTATTCTCTGTAGAGTTGAATTGGTGGTTGTATATTCCCCTAGTTCCTCTTTATCCTGAAAGTACCTTGTTTTTCCATCAATTTCCAGGAGTAGTTGTGCAGGATATCTCAATCTTGGCTGGAGGTTATTATCTTTCAAAGCTTAAATTATTTCCCCCCATGCTCTTCGTGATTTGATGGTTTGTGCCGAGAAGTCTGCTGTAATTCTGATGAGTGTTCCCTTGTAAGTGATCTGTTTCTTGTCTCTGACGGCTTTTAATATTCTGTTCTTATATTGGATTTCTGGTATTTTGATTATTATAGGCCTGGGTGTAGCTCTGTTTGGGTTGTAGGTGGCTGGGGTCCTGTATGCGTCATATATCTGAGTGTCTTTACCTTTTGCTAAATTAGGAAAATTCTCCTGGATTATTTCTGCGAGTAGCTTTTGTACTTCATTTGTTTGTGTCCCTATCTCTTCTTTTATGTTCTTAATTCTTAAGTTATAGATTCTCTTATCATCTTCTAGTCTTTGTATTATTCCCATTTTCTTATAAGATAATATACACTCATTAGTCTACTCAGCTTTGTAAAAAAAAAAGTCACCAACCAGCTGCTTTTATGATTAATTCCTTAAACAAGGACAAAAGAGACTCAAAGCAAAAGTGATTTCAAAGGGAAGTGACTTGTGACGTTGTGTGCATGGCTGTCGGGTAACATATATGGTAATCTTTTGGGGCTGTGTAGTCATAAGCAAGTCTCTTAGTGTCTCTGGGCCTCAGTGTCCTCTTAGGAGAGTCACTGTGGTGAGCAAGTGGCACACTGTTTTCACCAGAGGGAAAGATGAGTGCCATCACCAGCTACCAACCGAAACACTTTGTTCATGATTCATTGTAAAGAAATGAATTGGCACAGGTGCGAAGCACCAAGCAAACTTATGTTTTATTGTCTTTAATATAGATAGACTTGTGCAAGGGTCACAGTGCAAGGAAACTAATTTTCCAAACTTCCGGTGATAGCCATAAACCCAGAGCATGGTAAGGTCCTGAGGTATTCAGAGGTGGTCCAGGACATTTATATTTGTTCCTGCTTCTTTGGTTCAGCCAGCTCTGTCTTGGGTGAGCTTAGTTTCCTCCAAACATTTCCCTGTGTTCAGCTTACCAAATTTTCCCAAATGCCTCTGATGGACACCAAATACCAGCTGCTGAGATCCCATAGCTGGCTGGGTCATCATGATCTCTGCCTCTGTTTCATAGTTGGGGAAACTGAGACTCAGAAAGGTACAGCAGTGGTTTGGCTCAGTAACCACTCAGGGTCCCTGACAACACACCCAGAGCCCTTTCCAGCCCAGCCCTGCCTCTCAGAGGTGCAAGGTTGTGAGAAGGGGCTTCTAGAAGCCCCGATTATCTCAAGATTCAGGAATTTCACAGGTGATCAAGTAGAATGCAGAATTCACATGAATTCAGCAAACATTTACTAAGCACCTACCATGTGTCAGCTGCTGGATTATTTAAGATAAAATATGAGGGTTCATAATTTCTTGTTTGAACCAGGCTGCTCTAGAAGACATGGGAATCTCTCTGTGGCTACTGTCTACCTGAGAAGCAGCTGGCCCATCCAGCCTCTGTCCCTGGGCTGTCTGCCTGAGCTCCTCCCTGCTGTTCTGCCTCTATGCCTCTAGGACCTTCTGCCGCCTTGCCAGGCACAGTACAGGAGCATAGTGGAGATGGAAAAAGCCATACCCTGTGACCCTGAGGGCAAAGCAAGTCTCTGATTTCCCTTCTGTCTGGCAGCCACCCAACACTTTAACATCCAGCCCTAACTTCATCCCTGTGTCTCTGAAGACTCTGAGACTATGGCCCAGAGCTAGTGGGCATGGGCACTCCTGGGTCTCAGTGTGATCCAAGCATGTTTCCTAGGGAAAAAAAAAAAAAAACAGAGCCCAAGCAAACTGCTCTGTCTAGACAGAATAGAAAATAAAAAATGCCAGGAGAGGAAGCAGATTCGGGGACAGGGTGGAGCAAGAGGAAGTGTCTGGGGACAACCCTTCTTGGCTAATTGCTTTTCATCCACAAATGACATAATCCAAACCTTGATGTATGGCTAAACTGGAAGGACCTCAGTGGCCCTCCAGTTCATCCCTTCATGTCACAGATGAGGAAGTCATATCTGAGAGAAGGCACCCACCTGAAGCTGTTACAGTAGTTGGACAGGGCAGGCTCAGAGCTGCCACACTGACCCTTTTGTCTTATTTAGCAAGTTTGATGGCATGGGGAAGTGCCGTGCTTTTATGGGTGGAATGCCAAAAGTTCACAACAAAGGGACACAGAAGGGCAAAGAACTGGGCCCACTGAACCAATCAGCAGGCTGTGCTCCGCACGCCTCATCATCAGCTCTCTCTTACGGGTCCTCAACTCTTTCCCTCTCCTTGGCCAAAACCAGCCCAAAATATGTTTGACTCTTCTTTTTTTTTTTTTTTTTAATTTTATTTAAGGAGAAAAGAAAAAAAAAACAGTGAAAGGGTACAAGTTATACAGATTTACAGAAAAAAATAAACAGTAGGAAATCACTAGTTAATGAATTACATATTGCCATCTTAGAAATAATTGTTCAAGTCACAAAATTAAAGCTTGTAGAGTGGACATTCCAACAATGATACTGCAAACAGTTCTGTTCAATGATCCAATAAAACTCTATGATATCATTTTCTATCTTATACACTTAAATATACATGCAGTTATATAGTTTAGAGCACTTTCTTTTCCTCTCTTTTGTACAATGACTATTACACATTTTGGGTTTCATTGCTCCCACGGTTCTTATTGCTTTTTTGGAAGAGAGTAAAACCAAATGTGACATAACAGAACAGAATTGGTCAAGTCAAAAGGGTGGACATAATAGATAATGTAAAAACATAATACAAGGTGATCAACAGTGGTTACCATAATGCCTCCCGCTATCTCTAATAGAATTGCCTATATCATTAATTATAATACAATTGAACAAAACAGTAAAGAACAAAACCGACAAAACCAAACCATTGGAGACATTGTAGGTCTTCAAAAGTAGATAAAAGTCAACGAGAATGGGCGTTATAATGAATCTCATTATCTTCACAGCTGATGCCTAAACTTTCGAACCTGATACTATCCAGCAAAACAGAATAGGGGAACATCAGTCAAAAACAAGATGGTGAGAGTAATACAGGGCTTCAAATCGAGATAATAGAAAGTCAAAGTGGGTTACTATAATATACCTGCTATTTTTTTCCCTTTAGTTAAACAGATAAAAATAAAAAAGTAAATAATGGAGTGGAGATTGGGATAAAAGAGGGCATAACAGCGAAACAGCGCAGATCAAAACATAACCATTTAAGCAGAATAGTGTTTCACCACCAGATAATTCCGACCCAAAAGTAGTTACCATATTGACTCTTTCCTTGAAGTCCTTGAGTACAACTTCATATACTGTAGCATTAAGTATATCAAAACAATGTAAAACCATTCAAGAGAATGACAGCATTACAGAGTATTTAGAATCGACTAACAGAAAATGAACAATGGTTTCTGTATAATCTCCTTGTCTTTAAAAGGTTTTTGCTTATACTATCGTACATAATAAAATCCAATAAGATACAACCTATTTAGACCATTGGAGACAGAAGAACAAAAGCTAGATGAGACTTCAAAACAAGATGATACTAAATCAGTATTACCTATTAAGATGTCATTTTCTCCAAAATAGCTGTTCCTATCATCCAATCTTCTCTGTCTCATTTCTGTTGAGCTCTTTTTCTGTCAGTAGCTGTCAGTTTGTCTTCTTCATTTTGTTCTCTGCTCCATTCGTTGTGGCCTCCCCACCACTATTTCTGGGTTCTTTGTATTTTTCTTTTTTTAGAATATCCTGCAATACTCTCTGTAGAGTTGAATTGGTGGTTGCAAATTCCCCCAGTTCCTCTTTATCCTGGAAGCACCTTGTTTTTCCATCAATTTCCAGGGACAGTTAGGGTTAGGGTTCGAAGTTGGTTTCTCTCAGCCCAGTTCGTTCCTGAGTCAGCAGAGCATATCTCTACCGGCTTATGTCTCCTTAGTCTGCACCATTCCTGACTTCTGAACCACGCCTTTCAGAGAGCCTCCGTAGTATCTGCTATCTGTCCGCCATGTTCTCCCGGAAGTCTCTGTTTGACTCTTCTTGCAGAAAAAGTACTGTGTATGCTTTTAAACAATTATTACTTTCTATTTCCCAGGTATTTATCCTAAGCAAAAAGAAAAAAAATAAAGAAGAGTTCATTTAATATAAGAAAAATATAAAATAAAGAACACTGTGGTTCCAAACCACAAACTAGAGAGCATGCAAACTTCAGAATGGGAAAGAATGTGGTGAACTACTACTTATGGTGAGTGGATGTTTATTACATAGCTGTTGTAAATGATGATTGTAAACACTGCAATATTTAAAGAGCCATATAAGATAAAGTTAATCGAAGAAATAAGATAGACACAGGTATAAGCCTATATAACTATGTTAACCAAAAGCCATGTTATATAAGATCTGCATAAAGTCTGAAGATAACACCAATGTCATTTTCCTGGTTTGAGTATTGTGCAATACTTAGGTAAGATTTTATCTTTGGGGGAAATTGGGAGAAGGATTCATGAATCCTATAGTTTTGTTTCTACAATTTCCTGTCAAATTGTAATTATTCCAAAATAAAACATGGTTTTGAAGTCCCAAAGTTTACATGGAGAAAAAAGGCTTGAAAAAAATTTAAATGGCTATTCTATCTGATAGAAATATGGGTAACTTTCTATTTAATTGTTTTTACATTTTTTTACAGTTATAAAAGGAAACAGACTCTGCTTTGTGTCTTTTTAAAAGGTTTCTTGGGCCAGACATTTAGCTCAGCCATGTCAGGCAAGCGCAAGGTCATGAGTTTAATTTCCAGTACAAAACAAACAAACAATACTTTTGAGGTGCAGAGAATTGAACCCAGAGCCATCAAACTGAGCTACATCCTTAGTTAGCTTGTTATTTCTAAAAAGCAAATCCTAGCTTTTATCAGCCAGCTCTGAGCTCACCTTCCCTGGGTACAATGTGTCTCTTAGTTCCCACAGTGGTTGTTTTTAACACTTCCCTTCACACCACCTGCCAGATGATCTGTCTCCAGATGGTCACCCTTGTGCATTTACATCTCACCTTCTAGTGCTCAGTCCAGGGCTCCATGCAAAACTTTCCTCATATTCAACAAATATGTATTCCATATATTCAACAAATATGTATTGCATCTAAAACTTTGTTGGGTACTAAAATAAGAAACCGCATGCACCAAAAGGCATGAAGAGCACTTATCTTCAAAGAGCTCATCGCTATGGACAGAAATGGACTTAAAACAACGTAACAAGGCCACTCAGAGTGAGGGACAGAGGATGAGCAGAGCACCGAGAAAGAAGAGCAAACTGTGCCTAAGTTGTGGGGACAGCTTAATTAAAAAAGTGTGTGGGCTGGGTCTAGAGGTTGGCAGAGGCTGATCATGAACACTCAGAAAAGTCTTTTAGACAAGAGTATGGCTTGGACAAAGATGTGTCTTAGTTACTTTTCTTGTTGCTGAGACAAAATATCTGACTCCAAAGTTAAAGGAGGAAAGGTTTATTTAGCTCACAGTTTGTAGAAGTTTCAGTCCATATTTGGCTGGCTCCAAAGCAGAATGGCACATGGCATAGGGGCAACCATTCATGGCAGCAAAAAACAGGAAAAGCAACACGTTTTTTCTGTCCCTTATATGTAGGCTACCTTATATGTCCCTTATATGTAGGCTACCCGTGGGTGTTACACTCATACCCTTAATCCCTGCATAACACTTCAGATTCAGCCACCTCTAAAAACATCCTACGACCACATGAGACATTGGTGGTGGTGGTGAGGATATCTAGACACAAAGCATAACAGAAATGGAACAGCACATGGACACTTTGGACCTATTCTTTTCCTAAGAATTACAACAACATTAATGAATTTTGAGTAAGAAAATAGTTGTTTGCATGAACTCTGTTGAGCCAATTTTCTATACAAGACAGTTAAATGTTCTAATTTTTATTGCTTTTACTTTTATGGTAACAGATTTTTCCCCATCTATTCTCTTTTGCTTTTCTATTGTACAGTATGGCTTTCATTCTTGGATCTGTGTGCTTTATTCACATCAAATTACATACTGAGTAAAGATTTTATTTTTATGCTAGATATATGCCTTTATTTATACTAACTTTCCTGGGTCAAATTTTATGTAAATCAGTAATGTCTGGGATATTTTGTTAATTTTTTGGTTAAAAAACAAATATTACCAAATACAATTTCTGCCTTTGTCATTTCTATTTTGTTTTGTTTATTCTGTACCCAATACTCATATGAATTAGGTAAACTATTGAGGAATTATTTGTTTTTGTTTCTTATATTACTCGTAAGAACCCTGAGTGGCAGTGTGACAGACAGATAGAGGGAATACAGAAGAGCAACGCTGAAAGGGAACAGGAGAGGCTGTAGCCACTCTGCCACACTGACTGCCACGCCCAAACACCAGGAGTGACTGCACCTTACACACAGGCCAGCGCAAGAGGGGAGGTAACAGGCTTCTGGATCTGAATGGTGAGAACAGTTCAATCAGAGAGGTGGAGTAAAGACATCCTGCTGTAAACATGGCCCACAAAAGGAATGGTGACAAGTTCATTGTTGATAACTTGATTCAAGTGAAGGGGCAGTATGAATAAGGGACACAGTGGGCCTTAAATACTAAGTAAAAGACTTGGGCTTTATACAGAGATAAATATGTAGTCCAAGAAATTGAATTGTCAAAACAATCATAAACCTGGGCAAAATATATAAAAAAATCATTTTAGATACTGACCAGCAGGCAGTGTAGGACAGTGATCCTTGATAGAGGAGAAACATTCAAGGTAAGACCCATGATCTGTCTGGCTTTTGGCTTGGGAGACTTCCTTCCACCAGCTGAACTGAAGTCCCAGAGGGTAGAGCTCTGGGCTGTGAAGCTGTAGGAATGGATGGGCAGGCAACAAAGAAGGAAGACCTGTATGTGGAGTGTGTGCCTGGGGATCTGGGGTAAAAATCTAGGTGAGCATTCTTCACCAGGCTTGGTTAAAGTTTAGAGTGTAGCTGAGCTAAGTGCATCTCCACAATGCCGGTCAACATCACCTATTGGAAGACGAAGAACAGACAGTAATACTGCAAATCATGCAATACTTGATATAGATTCTCAGTGGTACTACTACTAGAAAGACCACACAATACTTCCATCAGGGATGCATTCTAAGACCCTCAGTGGATTCCTAAAACTACAGATAATACCAAAACTAAATAGGTTATAATTTTTTCCTATGCATACAACCCTATAGCAAAGTTTAATTTATATTAAGCACAATGTAATATCAACAATAATGACCAATTATAAAAAATAATAATTATAAAATATGCTATAAAAGTTATTTAAAACTTCTTAATTTTTTCACTTACTATTTTCAAGCCATAGTTGACTGTAGGTAACTAAAACTACAAGGTGAAATAGTGAATAAGTGGAAACCACTGCATTTCAGGGATAAGGAACATGCTCCAAGATAAGAGGCACGCTCTGGAACTCAATTTTAAACCAAAATAGCCCTGCCCTAACAAAGGAAAAAAAAGAGGTCTCATAGGATTAAAAAGATATGCTAGCAACTTAATGATTTGCTAGAAAAAAACTCACCATCCATCAGGGGAAGACAAGAAAACCTAGGCTCCCTCTAAAGTTTCATCTACAAAGTCTAACACATAATCAGAATTACTGGACAAGTGAAGTAACAGAACCCGTAGTCAACTCACAGGGAAGAGGAAAAGTGGTAAGTCAGTCTGAAAGGAAACTTTAAGGAGGAGAAAGGTACTAGTTGCACATTTTGAAAGGACAAATCAGATATCCACTGGTCCAAAGACCATTCGGGAAGGTTGGGGCAGGAAGAACCATGGAGTCTTCTGAGCAGAATCTCCTAATAACCACAGGAAGGTGATGAAGAGCTGGACAAAAGTTCTGCAAATCTGTGAGTTTTGTCATTATGCTTAAAAAAATAACTAACTGTCAGTGCTGAGGCTCCCTTAGATTTTGATCTACCTTTATCATTACATATGAGCGAACTAGGACTCAAATGGTAAGTGACTTTCCTAAGATCCCAGGATCATTTTGAAGGTGCACATGGATTAGAACCCAAACCTCATAACTTTCCTACATCACACAGCCTCCCTGTGACCACCTCGTGCTAAAATAATCTGAGATGACTAATTGTGTATTCTTACAGGGGAAGTCCCCAGCCATACTTTCTGAGACAACACCAAGGTGTCACTTCTTCTTTCTTCTCCCACGTAAAATGAGAAGGTTTCCAGTAAGCCATCAGCTAGGAACAAAGGGGTGTCAAAAAGCACCAGAAACCAGAAACTTGATGCCCACTCATATAAGGCTTCTGAAATTGAATTGCTAGAAATTCATGTCCTTTAAACATTTGAGTTCATTTAGTTGTTGCCAAGAAGCATTATGACGTGGCCAGGACACTGGCATTGATTCATAGTAGTACCTGATTAGTATCAACAGAGGAGAAAGAAAATACATTACACATCCTCATGTGTATTTGCAAATGAAGTTCTTGGCAATATGCACCTGCAGATGAAGGATCTCAGTGGATGGGTCATGCTTTCTTCCTAGTCCTGGGAACCAAGACAAGGCAGTGACAGTGATTCTTCCAGATCATTTTCCTCCCAGAAAATAGCCACTGGCATCCCTCACCCATCCCTGGGCAGCTGTTGTCTAGGCTTTTAAAGATGACCTTTCCATGTACTTGTTGTGTCTGACAGTGAATGTGTTCCCTAGACCTCACAGCTGGTCAGGACATCTAAATGGATCAATCCAATTACGGTTCACTGCCCTTTTCTGAGGCCCTGTTGCTTTTGGGACTTGGTGTTGGTTCTCAGGATGGGGTGCTAAACGGACTGAGAAGTCCAGAGGGGGTTAGCTATGAACTAACTCTGAGTCTCCTCCCTATTCTACAGTAGATGAAGTTCTCTCAGAACTCCTTGGTCACAAAGGTGAAGAGCTGAGCCTTTGCCACCCACCTGCCTGTGTCACGTAAGTAGCACTGGTTTTATGTACATAGCCTCATTTCATCTTAACTATAACCCTGTGAAACAAGCATCATCTTTGCCTGTTTCTATTATAAAGAAACAGATTCTAGTGACGAAGTCTCTGCCCAGGATCACACAGCCCTTCACTCATGTCTAGTGAAACAATCACTCTGACTTTAAACTCCTGTCACAGAATTACTTCCGGATGTACAAAGGAGGGACACACAGCTGGGGAAGCCTTGAATCTTGGGAACTTGTAACTGAGTATGACATATATTTGTATAATGAGAGTGAAATTGCATAAACAAAAATGCTGATGAGAAGTAGAATCCAACCTTTTATGTATTTTCAAGCCTATGTTATGTAATATGCAATTTTTAAAAACTAACCAAAGAGCTATGCTACATGTGAGTACTTGTATATGTGTACGTGTATGTACACTAACAAACACCTGGTGGCTCCTTACACATAGGTTTGAATGTTAATTAACAATGCATAGAGGTAAGAATGTCACCTTTCTTTTTTTAAATTTTATTTAAAAGGGAAAAGAGAAAAACACAAAACAAAACAAAGCGGTGTAAGGGTACAAGTAATACAGAACTACAAAAAAAAAACAGTAAGAAATCACCAGTTAATAGATTACATATTATCATCTTAGAGATAGTTGCTCAAATCACAGTATCAAAGCATACAAAGTGGACATTCAAACAGTGAGACTGCAAACAGTTGTGTTCAATGATCCAACCAAAAACATTAATATGGTCAGCTATTTAACACCCCTAAACACACTTGCTGTTGTATCCTTTAGAGCTCTTTTTTTCCCTCTCTTTTTTACAACAAAATTTACACATTTTGGGTTTTATTACTCCTTAGTTCTTATTACTTTTTTGGGGGGAGAGAATAAAGTCAAATATGGCAAAACAAAGCTGTCAGTCAAAAACCAAGGATAGACATAGCACATGATGTAAAACAGAGTACAAGGTTATCAACAATGGTTATCAACAATGTCTCTTGTTTCCTTAAAAAGAATTGTCTATCTCATTAGATATTATAAAGTTGAACAAAACAGTAGAGAACAAGACCAATAAAACTTAAGCATTGTAAACATTACAGGACTTCCAAAGGAGACAATAGTCAAACCAGAATGGGCATCTTAGTGAATCTTATTGCCTTCAAAGTAGTTGCCTATACCCTCAAACTTGATACTATCATACAGAATGGAACAGAGTCTAATCAGTCAAAACAAGATAGTGGGAGTATTACAGGACTTCAAAACAAGTTAATAGGAAATCAAAAAAAGTTACTATTATATATCCTGCTAATTTTTAAAATTTTTCCCCTTAATTAAAACAAATATAAGAAATAACTTAAAAAATTTTTAATGTATAAGGGATAGATTGAGATAAAACAGGACATAACAATATAACAATACAGGTCAAAGCATGACTGTTTCAGCAACCTAGTGCTTCACCACCAAATAACCCGACTTAATAGTAGTTACCGTAGTGTCTGTCTTTTTCCTTGAAATATTTGAATAAAACTTCATATACTATAGCTTCAAATCTTTCCATATCAAGAAGCCCAGAATAAAGCCTTTCCAATTAATAAGTGAAAACTTTATAAGGCTTCAAGGCCACATAATGGGGAATCATGATTACCACATATTTTTATATATTTAAGAATGTCACCTTTCAATGCAAGTAAACAACTCCTAAAAAGCTCCTGTTTTTATTTGCAGAACAATATTCAAAAATCCTTCTACATTTGCTGACTTGCAACGTTAACTTCTATGTTTTCAAAACATTTCATTAGACATTTGAAGTGCATAAAGTCGCAAATTCTGAGTATTTAGGAAGAAGCACAAGCCCACACACATCAGTACCTACCAAGTAAACAGTAACTCAGCTCTTGCCAGTCAGCTTCTCTGAACATCCTTATCTAACTACTGCATATGTTGGGGGTAGGGACCTGCCCTGCCCAGTCGGCTTTGGCAGAGGTGGCTGAAGCCTAGGGAGATGACCTGGTAGATTTGGAGCCAGAGGACTGTCTCCATTCTTTATCTCCTTTTTCTGGAACAACCAGAACATAGCAGGACCCAGAGGCAGCCAGTTTATTTTTAGAACGTGCATCAAGTTCTCCGCCAGTGTTCAAAAGCCAAGAAAAGAAGAGAACTCACTGGCCCAACTGAAGCTACAAACCCCCAAAGGGAATCCAGGAGGCCTAGAGCAGAGCACTGAGAAGAGCCACCTGTTACACCAGAGGATGAGATTCCTGTGAAAGGCTGAGCACATGTCCTCAGTCACCCAGGAAACATGCTCTAGCCTGGGGCAGCATTTCTCCTGCTCGCCTGGCAGGGACATCTTTGCTGCTCTCCACCTCCGCAAACAGAGGGGCCTCCTGCTGGTCCCCAGCTCCACTGCACACAGGGTATGTCCCACATGCAGCCTGTGCTTCACCCACAAGAGACCCTCCACTAACTGCTTTTCAATGAATGGGGGCCTCTACCCCCTCCTCCCTGCCAAGCACAGAAATAAAATTTCAATTTCCGGCCATAACTCAAAAGGTCATTGCCCCTTTCCCCTGTGCTGAGTCATCTAAGGAAGTGTGAGATCTACTGAACACCTGGCTTTCTAGGTGGATTAAATTTTATCCAGCAGATGTTTACTGAACACCCACAACAGTGTGTGTGGGTCTACCTGGCAGTGAGACACCCTGAATAGGAGAGATTGTAAACTGGTGGCCATCCATGAAAGTCATCGATAATGGACCAGAGATGGCCTAAGCACACAGTCATAGCAAAGCCCTCCACGCAGCCTGCATAGTAACTGGAATGGTACCCAGGACGAAACTAGTTGGCATGTATGCAGGTCGGGTTTCTGGGCTAAGTTTAGCAAATCAGGGAAGAACAAAAAGCTCTGAAGCTGTGAGGCCATAATCAGGGTAAAACGAATATCTGGATGGGCAACGGGTCCTTTCCTTCCTCCCCCACTGGTGTGGGCTTCCTGTTGTACTGGTGCTGTGAACCAGATGCTTTCTACCCCAGGAAACTGGGAAGCCATGCTCACCCCCACAGAACCACAAATACCAGGGGGACTTCAGGGCAGGTATCCCCCATTCTTCAAGGATTAGACTTAGACTCCTCAAGGCAAAACTCCTTCCCCTTCTGAAAAGACCTTAAAGCTTTTCTCCTGGTTATCTGTCAATCTGTGTTGAAGGCTGTGCCCACCTCTCCCAACACTTACACACACACACACACACACACACACACACACACACACACACATCCAGAGCAGGTCCCCTCTTACTGCCTACCTGTTCAACATCACCCTAGAAGTGGCTGCCTTCCAGTGACCTCTTTGCCTCCTTAAAGACCCAGGGTGAGCAGTTATTTGGGAAACTCCATGCCAAGCCTTTCCAACAATTTATTTTCAGCCATCCTTCTCACCAGCAGAGTTCATTTATGCCCAGAGGCTGTCTGTGCTGGAACAGGAAGCCTCTAGCAGTGTCATCAGTCCCTCAAGTATACATTTCAGAGCTCAAGGGCAATGTGAATAGCTAGAAGCTTACAGACCTTGGCCAGGAGATTTTGCACTGGCTTCAGAGATCCAAGAGCATGTGCAAAGAGGAAACAGGCCCTGCACTGCCATCACCATCCCTTAACATTAGCTTTTTCATCATTCCCAAACCGTCATGAAGCTCCTGGTCATGTAGTTGGTATTTCTTGTATAGTCCTGTAAGTTAAAACTGGATATCTTGGGCCCAAGCAGCAGGGACTTTATCAGATATGATTTCTCTATTTTTTTTAAAAAGATAATAAACATTTTTATGTTTTAAGTAAAAATTATACTATAAATGTTGAGCTTTTAAGTACCACCTTAAATAATATATTATCTAACACAATCTGTGATCTGGATTTGCTAAATGGTTTGAAGATTCTGCTCAAGGGTAACCCTGAAGAAACAAAGGAACACACAGAACACCAGCTATGCCCTGCCCTTCTCTCAGTGTAGAGCCTGGACCACTTGGAGCATGGAACATGACCAAGAGCCAGATGCACTGGCCTTCGGGAAACATCAGATGTTTGTATTGTCCAGAATAATCGTATCATCTCAAAAGGGTCAACTCAGCAGTGTAGCTATTCTCTGCAACTGACATTTAAAAACCTATCAGCTGAGGTTGTTTCCCAGCACTGATTATCGCTTGTTCTGCTCCTGCCCTCATTTGAGTGGGTCCTGGTCAAGGAAGTCAGCTTAAATGTTGCTTCATCCAGGAAGTTTTTCCTGATCTTCCCCCAACTAATGGTGTCCTGTCATTTCCATTTTGGCCTATCATTCATCTTCCTTGCAATCCCACTGTAACTGAGTTATAAGCTCTGCACAGGACAGGCCTCCCCAGGGTTCAGCACATACCAACCACAGGACAAGTGTTCAATAACATTCTATGAATGAATGAATGAACAGGCAATCCTTGTGGACCAGGAACTCTTTTCTAGCTTTTTAGGCATGGAGTCCTTAAGTCAAGATATACCAAGTTCTTCTTAATTACATGTCTCCCCACACAGATCTATTTTCTCCCCACTGAAGAGCAATAGTAAGTTGACTCTGTTCCTATATGCAGCCCCAGATTTCTCTAGAACAGGGAAGGGAAAACTGTGGCCCATGAAATTAAGTTTTACTGTGCTACACGCATACTTTCACATATTGCCTGTGGCTGACCTTACAATATACAACAGCTGCAGAGTTAACTAGTGATGACAGAGGTCTACCAAGTAGAAATATATACTGTATAACCCTTTTCTAAAATTGTGCTGAGCCTGCCCATAGAAAACTCAGAGAAAAACAGAAGTGGAGACAGAGCAGCAGGTGGTAGGAGAGGGTCCTCAGACAGAGTCCAGGAGAGGATGATCCTCTTTCTGGAACAGTGGGTGGTCTGTACTCTCTGGAAAGCGCTTGTGAAAGCTGCAGGTGTGCTGAGCACCTGGTATGGCATTATACACTGGGAGGA